TGGGGGGGGGGGGGGGGGGGAGGCAATGGGAATCAAGGGGAGCAAAACTGAAGTGTAAAGAGTGTGTCACCTCATCACTCAGCCAGACCCTCACACTGTAGTCGTCAATCTTCTCATTGTAGCGGGTGTTGAGCAGCGTGTCGATGATAAGCACTGAGATGCTCTTCAGGATGAAGGAGGCGAAGAGGTTCATGTGGATGTAGTTGCGCATGCAGTGCAGCTTGCTGGAGAGCAGAGAGCCTGTCAATGCCTGTCCAGCGGGGCTGGCACCACGTAGAGCCCCCTCCCCAGACCCTCCTTCCAGTCCTTGGACCTTGGTCACAGTCTCCACCCCACCCCACCCCATCCCTTGCTCCCCACCTTGCCCCTTCTCCCTACACATCACCTCCTCTCTAGCTCTTAATATTATCCACAGATTGCCACAGCGTTGGTCCCTTCCTGAAGAACTGATATCGGTCATTGACTCCAAGAACTTCATTGTTTATTGCATATTACATAAAGTTCTACTGCTCTAATGTTGATCAGAATGCAAGCTAAACCTGCCATATGACTTGGGAGACACATGGATCTTCTCCCACAATGTAACTGTGGTAAAAGTCATCTTGTAATTTAAAACAATCCAGTAGAATGAGCCAGCCTGAGATTTCGCTCATTAAAAATATACAATTAATCTCTTTCCAAAATTAACAGAAACTCAGCTTCTCCATGTGGAGTTTTAACTGCTGTGTGGATAGTAGCCATAGACTACGATGCGACTTAAAATATGCCTTTCCCCCAACACTGACCACCACCCCCAGTTCAATCCCCCAGGCACCTGAAGCCTAGTAGCACAGCCAAGGCGAGGATCAGGGCGCAAAGTGACACTGAGTAGCCCACCGTGTACATCACCTTGAAGCTGCCATAGATCCTAGCAAACTTGTTCTGGGAAAGAAGAAAGCAGAGAGAATCTAAGGAATGAAGGAGACCTGGGGACTGTTCACTTATCCAAATGGGAATGGGCAGTGGGACGTGTGTGTGTGGAGGTAAGGCAGCCCCCAGAACTAATGTACATATTCATGCTCACTTGTTCTAGGAGGGTCTCGTTGTCCATCATACATTGACGGCCGTCCCGCAACGATTTCCCTTTGGGACTTGTCACCCATTGGCCATCTGGGCCACACTTCTTGAATACATAGCCATGTTTCACTGTGGGAAGGGAAAGGATGGATTGGATGACTGACTGTGCCCCAGATTAATAACCACACTAGCTCTTCCTCCATACCCCCTTGGCATTGCATGTTCCATACTCACCAGCTCTCCCTGTCTCTTGTGTCTATCCCCCTCTCCCACTCACCCAGCACACCAGCCAGATCCTCCTTTGCTTGTCCCCATGCCAACATCCCCTCTTCGACTAGAACGCCTGTTTCCCCATCTAAGGGCATGAACCCATCCCAATCGTCTTCTCCCCCCACTGCAGGTACCTTTGTCATACCAGGGCAGGAACCAGGGACAGGAAACATTGACGGTGGTGTTGGGCTGGGCATCAGGCCAGCATGAGTACTTGTCAAATGTTCGGTTGCACACCAGCTCTGTTGGAAAGAGAGGCAGGGGCTGTGGATGCGCATATGCAGCAGTGGTAGAAGCAGCAGGTGTGGTAGAGCATGTGTGTGTGTGTGGGGGGGGAAGCCTTCTTCCTTATTTTTTTTTAGCTTTCACTCTTTCTAAGAGAGACAGTTTGGTGTAGTGGTTACAGAGTCAGACCAGGATCTGGGAGACCCAGGTTCAAATTCCTGCTCTGCCATGGAAGCCTGCTGGGTGACTTTGGGCCAGTCACAGACTCTTACCTGATCTACCCCACCACAAGGATGTTGTGAGGATAAAAATGGAGGAGAGGTGAACAATGTAAGCTGCTTTGGGTTCCCATTGTTGAGAAAGGCAGGGTATAAATGAATTTTTAAAAGAAGACACTAACAATGCAATCCTAAGCAGTTATACCTTTCAATGTCAATTGAAGCCAATGAGTTTAGAAGGGCGTAACTCTTCTTAGGATTGCATCAGTGGCCCTTAAAACCCCCCACCAAAACCCTACTTACTCCTACAAAAGGGGGCCTAAGACAGCTTACAAAATCAACAAGCTAACCACCTTAAACTAAACAAAGCAAAACAAAATTAAAAATAGCACAATACGGAATATCATCATCATCATCATCATCATCATCATCATCATCATCATCATCATCATCATCATCATCATCATCATCAATTGTATTTATGAATCACCCAACCCCTGCTTCTGCAGGGCTCTGGGTGTTGTACAACCACAGATAAACAAGATAAAATTAGTTAAAACATTAGTAGAACATTAGAGACAATCAGATGGCAAATAACCAGTTCCCATTCCAACTCCCACTGCCGGTTACTTCATGGACAGGGGGGAAGAGGGCAAAATGGATGTAAACAACAGAGAACACGAAGGGTGCCAGCCAAGATGGAGCCATCACTGTCCTCAACCAAAAGCCTGGTGGGGCCTGATGGACTTTGGCAGAGAGTTCCACCAGGTCGGGGCCAGAACTGAAAAGGCCCTGGCCCTGGTTGAGGACAGCTATGTGTCTTTAGGGCCAGGGATCACCAGCAGATTGCTGTCTAAGGAGCGCAAAACTCTCCTGGGGACATAACGGAGGAGACAGTCTCATAGGTATGTCAGTCCCTGACCACTCAAGGCCTTATAGGTCACTACCAAAAACCTATTCCACTGGGAGCCAATGTAGCTGGTGCAGCACTGGATGTATATGTGCCATCTGTGATGTTCCCGTCAGGACTCACGCCGCCACATTCTAGACCACTTGGAGCTTCTGGGTCAATCTCAAGGGTAGGCCAGCGTACAGCAAGTTACGATAGTCTAATCTGGAGGTGACTGTTGCATAGATTACTGTGGCCAGATCAGGGTGCGACAGGAAAGGGGCCAGTTGCCGAGCTTGGTGTGGATGGAAAAAAACACTAGCTTGGCAGTCTGAGCAACCTGGGGCTCCATACTCAAGGAAGGATGCAAAACCACTCCCAAGCTCCTGACGGATTGCGCCAGTGTCGAAGGCTGGTAATCTGTGCCCCAGTCCTGAAGCCCCACCCCACCCGCCACAGAACCTCTGTCTTTGTTGGATTCAATTTCAGTCTACTCTGTTTCAACCACCCAACCACAGTTTCCATACCAACGGCCAGATTATGTGGGGCAGCTTCCGGGTGGCCATCCAATAACAGATATAGCTGGGTGTCATCAGGATACTGGTGACACCCAAGCCCGAAACTCTAGACCAGCTGGGCAAGGGGGCGCACATAGATGTTAAACAACATCGGGGAGAGAAGTGCCCCCTGAGGGACCCCACATAGTCGGGGGTCTCTGGAGGACACATTCTCTCCCAGTGCCACCCTTTGTCCCCAGCCATGGAGAAATGAGGTGAGCCATTGAAGGGCCAACCCCCAAACTCCTATATTGGCGAGGAGGTGGGTCAGAAGATCATGATCGACCGTGTTGAACGCTGCTGTCAGATCTAATAACAGTAGAAGCGCCGACCCACCCTGATCCAGCTGTCTTCGGAGATCGTCCGAAGAATAATTACTGATGTTGCCGTATGAGGACTGTCCAACAGAATTTGACAGTGGGCCACTTGCGTGGATCTAGGCCCAACATTTGCATGGATGCAATGGCCCACATACACAGCTGCCTATTGATTCATTCCCTCACAGGCCTCACTTTGACACTGTCCCCATTTGTCATTTGAGATCCAGTAACCAACAACGTTTCTAGGACCACTTCTCCCAAGAAGAGAATAAATCGTCTCTGTCCATTTGCGTGTGCTGATGTGCTACCAGTACCAGAGGCAGCCTCCCCCCCCAAAGTATGTGTCCCTTTCCCATATCCGCAGCCACAGACATTCACAAGGTCCCAGCATGCAGTTAGTTGCTCATTGCCTAGCAATGAAACTGATGAATAAACGGGGGGGGGGGAGAGAAAGAAAAACAGCAGGGCAGGAGAACAGACCCAGCAGTGCCTCTCTGACTGTCTACCCGCCTCATGTCCCTTTTCCCTCCCTCATCCAAGGTGCTGTCAAACAGTATCCAACCTGCAGGGGACACATGTCTTACCAGTAGGCGGTGGCAGGAGACTCATGTTGTGAAAGCACTCTTTGCTGTAGGCCATCCAGTTCTCAACAAGGGAGTCCATGATCTGGGCTGAGGGCCCCTGTGGAGGGCAAAAGGCAAGAGAGACTATGGCTGGCCTGACACGTGTGTATTTCAGACCTGGGGCAAGTCGGGGGTGGGGGAACCAAGGCCCTTACCTGGAGGCACAACACCAACGCCAGCAGGAGACTGAGTAAGTGTGTTTGGGACATCCCTCTGGAGAACTGCGAAACCGCATTGGGGATGCTCCGGGAGCTGCTGGCTTCCTATAGAAGCTTCTTAGCAAGAAACCTGCATGGGACAAGGAGGAAAGAGAAGGGGGGACACAAGGCTTCCGTTAGTCTTGCTGCTCTTCTGCAGACTCCAGGCTCCAGTGCCCTGCCTCCAAGGCTGGTGACGCAGCAGGCTACGAGAGGGTTTCCTGGGCTACATCCAGGTCACCTAGGTGGTGCCAGCAAATAACGATTGACAGGGACCTGTTCGGGGTGGGGACATGGCTGCTGCAGCCTCCACTCAGGTCAGGTGGCTGCTGGGCATTTCGACCCTGCCTCTGGTTGGTGCTGGGGGCTCTCTGACCCTCATCGGCGCTGGAGAGAGCCGAGGACGCATGGTTGAGGGGGCTGCTTCGAATGCCAGTCGCTGTAACTGGAGCCTGTTTTGGGGGGAGCTATTTCAGGGCTGGATCTGGTTCCGTGCCAAGTGCCCAGTGAGACATGATCCACTGTGATGCAGCCGGGGGGGGGGGGGGAATTCTTTTCTTATTCGCCTCCTTGGAGCAGTAGTACACCCTGAGCCTGTACACGTCTCCCCTCTCCAAACACTTGCCAGCCCAGGTTTGCAGCAGGTGCTGGGGACTAGCAGCGACCCACACAACAGTGCAAAAGAAAAGGACCCAGAGTCTGTGCTAAGCCGGGCTAACAGGGGACCCTTCACAATCGGTCCAGTGAGGAACGGGTGCATGCTGGGGGTGGTGTTCAGTGGGCCTGCTTGTCCCCCCCTTAAGACACTCTGCCCTGCCCTGGTTGAGCTGAGCTATCCCTGGACTGAACAGCTTTGCTTTGTGGATTGAGGAGCGGCAGTGCTCTAGGTGGGGAGGCCCCTGGGCGCCAGGGGACTAGGGAGCAGAGGTAGTAAGAAGCACTGGAAGTCTTGTGTCTGGGAACCAGAACAGCCAGAGTGACAGGGTAGGGGGTGCTGAAGCTGTGCCGATTGGAGGATCCAGCAGACAGCAGTGCAGCCGGGCCATTTGCTGGCTGCCTCAGCAGCCTGTGTGAGCGTGCCTTACCAGGGGCCAGAGGAGCTGCACAAGGTGGCAGCAGCAGGGTGCACAGGAGAGGGGAGGTTGGGACATCAGCAAAAAGGTCGTTGTGCAGAGTCGTGTGGCTTGCTGAGGTGGACAGATGCCCTGGTGCCTCTGCTCATTGGCTGTAGTTGGTACATTCCTTTACTCTGACGTGATCTGTGCTCATGCCAGCAGGGTAGGGTTGCCAGCTGCCTGTGGGGGGAAAAGTGTCCTGTCCTTTTAATGGAGGATTAATGGGATCTTATTTACCATGTGACACTATTTACCTCCACAACATGAACAGTTTCAGCTGCCCATTTCCAAGCATTAGCCTCTATTAAAGGGATAGCCCATTTTTCTCCATGCCTGCTGGCAACCCTACAGCAGGGATTCTCCTTTCCTGGGGCAGAAGTGGCGGCCACGTCCCTCTTTGGCTGGTCCCTGTCTAGGAAAACATCTAATGGGGGCAGGGACCGCTGGGGGGAATGTGCCAGGACTGCCTCTGGCCTGTTTACCTCTCCTGGCATGGCCCAGCTAAGGCCAACAAGGTTGTTAATCATTAACACTCTCCGGGGATCTCCTGGCTCTGGGTGAGCCTGGTGACAGCCCTTGTCTCCTCAGTGTCCAGGCCCATCCTGGTGCCGACAAAGGCCCTCATGTGCCCAGAGACTGACTCCTTGGCTGAAAGCCATGCCATGGTCCCGTGGGTGGTTGGGCAATGCCCCTGTGTCTACAACCCATCCCAGATAATCTCAGATTCACACAGGAACTAAATCCTTCGATCCCTCTCTAAGCTGGTTAAAGAGCTCCTGAATGGCATTGCAGTACTCCTGACAAACAAGCCATTCTTGCCAGGTGCTTTGGAACAACAGGCCGGATGTGGCTGGAATTGTACTGGGATTACTAGAGTGCTCCTTCAACAACCCCCTCCCCAAAGCAAAAACCAGTTGACCTTACTGTTCCAGCCCACTCTCTAATACTCACTGAGCAGTAAGAGAAAGATCCCCTCCGGAAAAATGGTATAAGAACTAATACTTCCTCCAGGGCAGTGAGTTGCTGGGGAACCCTCTTTACACTGGCTATAGGAGGTATCTTTGGCCTTACCAAATGAGGGGGAAGTAAGAATAAGTGTATGCTTACAAAAATAGGTCAGGCTCAGAGAATGTACAGTACGATGACTAATTACCAGTTCCTACTCATCCCTGGTCCAGGGCCACAGTGGCTCAGAGGTTAAGATGCTGACCTGAAAACTGGAAGGTCTGTAATTCAGCAGTTTGAGACCCAAGTGCCGCGTGACAGAGTGAGCTCCCGTCTCTGGCCCCAGCCCCTGCCAACCTAGCAGTTCGAGATCAAGAAATTGCAAGTAGATAAATAGGTACCGCTTCAGTGGGAAGGTAACAGTGTTCTGTGTGCCTCGGTGTTTAGTCATGCCAGCCACATGACCACGGAAACGTCTTTAGACAGCGCTGGCTCTTCGGCTTGGAAACAGAGATGGGCACTGCCCCCTAGAGTTGGATTTGACTAGCTTTCGAGCAAGGGAAACCTTTACCTTTACCTTTTTACTCATCACTGGACACTGCACCTCTGCCTCAGAGGACCATCACCGTTATTTATTTATTTATTTATTTTTCATATTTATACCTCGCCCTCCCCCATGGGCTTCGGGGGGCTTACAGAGGCAAGGCAAAACCTTGCCATGATAAAACATAATATACATAATAATTTAAAAACATACAGTACATCTTAAAAATCCTAATTTAAACAAATGATCCTCTGGTCCAGATGGTGGCAGTATACATATTTTTCCACACATGGAATTTCCTTGGCATGAAAAGCGTGTTGATGAGGCATAGAATTAATAGGGATGTGATGGACAACATATCTCATTCATGCCTCTTAGTTGTCTTCCCTCCAGACTAAAAAGACTCAGACTCCCTAGCCTTTCTTCATCAGGTAGGTGCTCCAAGGCCTTGATCATTTTGGTTGCTCCTTTCTACACTGGTTCGATCACTACATTATTCTTTCCCAGACATAGCATTCAAAGCAGCCTCACTATAAATCTTTACAAGGGCATTATAATACTGGCCACTTTATTTTCAATCCATTTCCTAATGATCCCTAGCATGGAGTTTGCCTTTTTTCACAGCTGCTGCACACTGTTGACATTTGCATCAGACTATCCACCATGACTCAAAGATCTCTTTCTTGGTGAGTTCAGCTGCCATCTCCAACATATATCTACATTTAGGAGGTCTTTTTTTTTTGTCCCAGCATGCAACGTTCTACACTGTTATTGAACTTTGTTTGCTGCATTATTATTCACACATCCATTTTGGAGAGATACTCTTGGAGCTCCTCACAGTCTATTTTGGTTCTCCTCGCCATCCTGAATAATTTGGCACCATCCCCACACCTGTCCTCCTTGCTAGGCTCCCCCAGTTCCTGATAATTTATGAGCAATTAAATAGCCGTTGGCCCCAGTACTGATCCTTGGGGGAACCCACCGCTCACTCCCTGTCCCTTGCAAGGCATATATTTACTCCTGGCCTCTGCTTCCTATCAGCTAACAAGTTTCTAATTCACAAAGGGATTCCTCTTATCCCATGACTGTTAAGTTTACTCCATAGTGAAGGACAGAGTAATAGGCTTTTTGGAAGCCTGGGCTTATACCCTGTTTCCCCGAAAATAAGATCTACCCAAAAAATAAGCCCTAGCAGGATTTCTATGCATTTGTGGTATAAGCCCTAGTGTGTCTTCTCGAGAAAAAATAAATATAAGACAGTGTCTTATTTTCGGCTCACCTTTATCCAAGTGAACATTTGCAAAAGGCTCCAAAAGTATTAGGGTTGCCAGGTTGCAACCTGCACAGCATGCAAGTGCTTTACAATTCCTTGACACAGTGACAGACAAGACAGTTGTGGCTTCCACCTGCAGTCCTGTTCTTCACCCCCTCCCCCTGCCTCCTTTTGTGGCAAACCTAAAATCCTGTTTGAGCTGCTGGGAGGGGCAGATGATAGGATCGGAAAAGCAATGGGCAGGAGAAGCCATGACTTCCTTTACTCATCTCCCCAAGATGACTCACCTGGTCTTTGGGTGACAACCCTAACTTCAAATTTAATTGCAAGTGTTGTCACGCTGCTATTTTTGCAGTCTGATCGATAGTACCCTGCTGAATTTAACAGTGTACACTACATTTTCTGACAACACTCCATCTATGTACCCATGCTGACATAAGATGCACTACACAGAAATAGTTGGTAGAATGTTTAAGCCTTCCTGTTGCTTGCATTTATGAACTAATCAGAACTTTATTGCCCAGAAACACTTACTGCTTTAAATGGCCTAGTTTCCTTTCACCTTTTAAAAGTTTTATATATTTCAGTTATTAATCAGATATGGTTTGATTTTTAGAAAGCTATCAGGAGTTGTGTGTACAAGAGTGCCATCTGCTGCGCGCCGTGCTCCCATCCTCAGCCCCACCAGTGATTCTACATTGTCCTATGCAGCCATCTTGGCACGTGTGCAGGTCAAAATGTCTTGTCTGCAGGGCTTTTTTTTGTAGAAAAAGCCCAGCAGGAACTCATTAGCATAATAGGCCACACCCAACAGCAGAAACTCATTAGCATATTAGGCCACACCCCTGACAGCACAACTCATTGGCATATTAGGCCGCACCCCCATGTTACCAGAAGTGTGCTCATCCAGCCACACCCACCTTTTGCTTCTTATTCTGTTTACCCAGGGCTTTTTTGTAGCAGGAACGCCTTTGCATGTTAGTCCACACACCCCTAATGTAGCCAATCCTAATGAGTTTCTGCTGTTGGGTGTGGCCTATTATGCTAATGAGTTCCTGCTGGGTGTGGCCAACTTGGAAGCCAGCCGGAACTACGTTCCTGTGCGTTCCTGCACAAAAAGCTAAAGAACACGGGTGCTTCAGCATGGTGCTGTAAACAGTAATGAGAAGGTAAAGGTGGCAGGACTTGGTGTTGATAACAGATGATCATGCTTCTACTTAGCATTTTTTGAGCACTTAGCATGTGCATTATCCTCATAACCCTTACAACAACCCTGTATGGTAAGTCGGTAATTATCCCCAGCATGAGATTTGAATCAAGGCTTCTTCAGATCAATGGCTATCAACATATGATGTAACAATGGTCTGAGGGCTGCTTCTCCCAGGAAAATGTAGCTTGGGAAGGAGATGAATTTAGAGCAAAGGACGGATGCTTAGCCCTTTTCCCACCTGCCACTTCTGGGCTACAAACTGCCTCCCAAGCCACTCTCCCTTCCCCACATTATGTGGCT